GGAAATCCTATGACGTGACATTTGGCTCCTTAGACGCCCCCTCGAGAATGATATCCTCTGCCCCAGAGGACCATGATTTGGAATTTGTCCACTGAACATGACCCAATTCATTAGCTCATTCCACAATCCCAGGCTCGCTCTTAGCTATCCAGGAAGCCTTGTTTTAAACCTCATAGTACACAGCAAACTGTTCCTGATGAAGAGGAAAAAGTGGAGTGTGGGCCAAGCACTCTGGTATAGTGGATGGAGTGTAAAACTTCAAGGCAGAAAGACCTGGGTTCAAATTGTTACACTATTACTAGCTGTGTGCTCCTAGACTGGATTAACTTCTATGGGCCTCAGTTTCTTCATCTGGAAAATAAGGGATTAGGCTAGATGGTCTCCAAGTTCCCTTCCAGCTATAAGTCCTAGAGATCCTATGATCTCTAAGGTTCTTTCCAATCCCTAGGATCCTATGATACCAGGAAGGGAGAGGTTGATAGGAATATCAACTCTAAAATCACACGAGTCATCCCAAGTTTACCAAGCCCCTTCATTTTTATTTTCCCCATACAATTTAAAGTCCTTCACTTGGGGTCCCATGAACTTGATTTAAAAAATAGTTTAATAACGGCATTTCACTAGCTTTGGTTTTCTTTCCCATTCTATTTATTCTACATACTTAAAGACATTATTCTGAGAAGGGTATAGTGGTCTCATCAGACTGCCAAAGGTGGCACAAGATGGTTAAAAAGCCTTTCCTTCCTACATCATCATAGGACAATACAGGAGGAGGCAGAATTACAGAACAGTCATTGAAGGGTGGGATTTAAATGGACTAATGTCAAGTTTCCAGTTAGGGGTTTAAACCCTGGTCGCTAGAGAAGGATTAGGCAGCTTCTGCAGCCTCAATCCCCCCACTCCTGGGCTCAGCTGCGCTTAGGTGATGACCCCAGCTCACTGCCAGCCAAAGTCAGTGCAACGGACCTGAGAGGCATGGTGGAGGCTGAGCCAGGAAAGGAGGCAGCTGGACATTGGCGATGCAGTGGAGAGAGTGCTGGCCCTAGAGATGAGAAATCCTGAGTTCAAAGTCAGCCTTAGACACTAGCCCCATGACCCTGGGCAAGCGACTTAACGTTTGTCTGCCTCAGTCTCCTCATCTGTAGAAAAATGGAGATAAGAAATAGCACCTAACCCCTCTCCCCACCCTGGATTGTCATGAGGATAAAATGAGCTAATACTTATAAAGTGTTTTGCCAACTTTAAAACACTCAAAAAAATGCTATCTATTGTTATTATTATGAACTCTTCTCTGGAGTCCCAGAAACCATTGCTACTGTGTGCAATCTTCCTTTAAACTTTTCGGTAGGAAATGCTCCCCAAGGACACACTTGTCCTTCCCCTGGGAAAGTGGCTTCGTGTTCCCAGCGTCCCCAGGGGCCTCTGCTGGCAGCTGTGGTGGCTGTTTGTCAGCGAGGGAGAAGAAGAGCGTGGGTAGAGAATCACGGGGGCAAAGCTGGGTTCTTCATTTTCTTTACAAGAGCTGTTTGGGGAGAGAGATATAATGTGGGAAGGGAGTATCAAGGGCACAGGCAAGTCCCCAAAGACAGGCTAATGAAGCCAGAGCAGTGGAGGGAAGAGCCCCCAGATCCGGCTCTTCCCCATACTGGGGGATGCCCGGATTCACAAGGCACCTCTTTGTGATCCCTGCCACCAAAGTCGTGCAACTTGACTATTCCATCTGGAGGCCTTTGGGAGCTGCCATCATGCCCCTAGGGAAAGGTGTGTATGTGTATGTATGGACACTTCAGTTTGTGATTCTAGGTCCTTTCCGCCCAAAGGGAGGTGGGGGAGAACCAGGCCCCTTCAGTACTCCCACCATGGGCAAGGTCCAATCGAGGGCTACCCCACACTGACAGTGAGCCAAGAGCTTCTATCAGTCTCCATGGGGCCCCTCCAGCACCCAGGACTCTTGTCTCCCAAAGCCTTTCCTAGGCTGTAGCTGGCAGCTGTGGTCACAGGCCTGGAGAGGAACCCACTTCTCCATCGTCCTGCCACTGACCTCATGTGGAGCTCTGGGTTCATCTGGGTTCATCTGCTGGAGCTCAGATCCAGAGAGGTGAGTGGAGGTAAGGGACGCGTGTCGGCAGTTCCCACTAAACTGAGGCCTATTGTCTACCTCAGGGCTTCTTGCCTGCCTGCCCCAGGCAAGTCACAGGGAATCTGGCCAGAGGCCAAGGCATCTCCTGGGGAGCAGGGTGGGGGGGCGGGAGTGAGGGTATTATTTTCATCCTCATTTATTTTAATTTGCTTGTGTTATGCACGAGTCTGGGCCAGTTTGTGGGTGAACAGGTGGAATTTGGGTCAGACAAGCAAATGAGAGCTTGTCTGAGGTCAGGTAGGATAAGACAAAGACAGGACTGTGTCAAAGGTCAGTGGGAGACATCAGTCAGAGGATTGTGAGGGAGTACAGGCCCAAGCCAAGACCTTTGTCTGTTACCCCAAAAGAATTTGGGTCCCATTTGAAGGTGGAATGACAGAGTACAGGCTCTGGAAACCCCTACTTGTAACTCCTTGAATGTTCCCTATTTGATCAAGGAAATCTCTGGCATTTGCCTGAGGCTATAATCCACTAAACCGGCCTTTCATTATCCTATGCCCAATCTCCCAATTCTCCATTACCCTTAACCTAGCCCAATCCTCCACTGTCAGTTATCTTGGGATGGTCCTAGGCTACTTCCCACCCTGGATCCTATCCAGACCCCATTCTACCTCCCAGTCACTCCCATCAAGATCTTTTCCAGACTCCTTGCTCCAGTCACCCCAGACTACTTGGCCATTCCTAGATCCCTCCCACAATCTTTCCATATATAATATCCATCTTGTCTTCATTAAGGTGCTTAGATTTTTAAAATCTTGCCAATGGCTCAGATTCAATCTAGCTCGCTTGTCAATATGAATGTCACAGATATTCCAATACAAACCTTGTCTTTGGCTGAAAGAAGGCTTGGGTTGAATTCATTGGGGCAGGACCTGTGTTTTGCTATTTTGGGGTCTCAGCACCCCTAAACCTCAACAGTTGGACAGTGGGTGTATGTGTGCATGTGTATGTATATGTATGTGGACAATGGATGTGCGTGTGCATGTGTGTATGCATGTATATGTGTGGGTGTTTGGACAGTGGATTTGTATGTGTGTGTGAGAGACAGACAGACTAAAATAGGGTCAGAGGTGGTCAGACACAATTAGATTGCGTCAGAGATGGCCAGTGTGGTAAAAAGCATTTCTCGAGTTCAACCCTCTTCTTGGCTATTGCTACTTGGGTAACTGTCAGCAAACCACTTCCTTCCTTTGAGGTCTCTGTTTCTTCGCCTATAAAATGAGGGGACTGGACAGAATGACCTCCAAGGTCCCTTCTACCTCTGAATCATCTACACCATAAGAACCAGACAGGGTCAGAGAGGGTTAAAGAATTGCTCCACCTCCTTCTCTTGAAATGACTTTCTCCCCCATGGTGATGTTTTGCTTTGCCCCAATCAAGTCTCAGGGCAGGAAAAGAAGAATGTCTTTATTATCTGAGCCAAGAGAAGCCAGGGAGCAGGTAAGGCGTAGGATCAGCTTAGACTAAGGGGGTTAGAAAGCTTCCTGCAGGACCCCATCCCTGCCAAACAAGAGGAAGCTATCCATCCACTGGCGATCTACAGATCAATACTCCTCAGCAGAGAACAGAGGAAGGCACGCTGCTCTGAGAATACTGTAGGCAAGACAGACCAGACACCAGTGTGAGGAGGGGACCCATGGATTCACATCATCCTCCATAAACCCAGCTGGGGTGGGCAGAGAGGCATAGGTTCAAATCCTGCCTCAGACACTTCCTAGTGGTGTGACTCCAGTCATGTCCCTTAACCTCCTAGGCCTGTTTTCTCATCTGTAAAATGAGGGGGATTGGAACTGAAGGGCTCTGAGGTCCCTTCCAGCTCTAAGTGTATGGTTATGACTATGACCTCCTTGCACCCAGGGAAAAGGAAGGACGATAGAACATTGAGATGATGGCTGGAGAGGGACCCACTTGACTAAGCCCTGGAGTGGAATCTTCAGATTTATTTGATCTTAATTAAGGTTCTGATCTCAGGCCCTTCACCTCTAATTCTCACTCATTGACCTTGGGTCCCCATCTCTGGTCTCTGGAGGCTGCCATTTTCTCCCTCTTAGATCGGACAGAAGTGTGTGTGTTGGTGTGTGTGTGTGGTGTGTGTGTGTGTGTGTGTGTGTGTGTGTGTGTGTGTGTGTGTGTGGTGTGTGTGTGTGCTGTTAAATACCCTGCAAATGAACATATTGGTTTGGAGATAGAATAGGAAGCTCAAGGAGGCCCTGGAGGGTGGAGAATGTGTAAAACTGGGCACCCAGGAAGCCCAAGGTCTGACTTCAGTTACTCCTGCCTCTTCACCCCGAAGTCCAGCTGGCCCATTTCATAGTCATAACTGATGAGGGTCCTCAAAGACCTGAGATAGAATATTTCTACTGGAAATAAGATTCTCCTGAGGTGGGTAGGACAAGAACAGGAATCCGGCCACCCCCATCCAAATCCCAAAGTAACAAGGGGACAGGTGTAGCCCAGATTGCTGTGTGATCCTTGGTACATTTCTGACGGTTGGTGGAAAGAGACGAGAAGAACCTGGACACGGGGTGACGTGTGGGGTCTGGGAGTCCTAGCAAGCAGGGCGGAAGTCTTGGGACCCTGTATAAACGTGGCTTAACCTGAAATCTAGAAAGCTTCCTGTATGGTCAGGATCTGTCTGCTTTCCCTAGCACAGAAGTCCCGAGCCTGGAACAGACCTTTGAGTCCCTTAGGGTCCCGGCATGCTCTGGGGCCAAACCTTCTTTACAAGAAGTCTGGTTGGGCTGAGGGGCAGGGGGCAAGAAATGGAGAAGGAGTTAGCTAGGCCTTGAGACGCAAACCCAACAGTCCATCCTCTCACCCCCACCCCCACCCCAGCCTGGAAGGTCACTTGGCAGGCAAATCCACAGAGCGAACTTTATTCCCAACAAAGATCCCCCCCAGCCCTGGGTGGAACAGACAGACTCATGGACAGGCTTGGGGGCAAGAGACACGGTGGCCTGGGGCTATAGGCTCTGAAAAATGAGGAGGGGGCCCCTTATTCTGCCCCCTCCCTGGGCCAGAAGCAGGTCTCTGGAGTCCAGCCCACCCCTCTCATCTCCAGGGTCCCCACCTTGTCTGGAGCCAGAATCCGGCTGTGTCTCCCTCCAAGGGCCAAGACCGCACACGAGAAGAGAAAAGGGGGGTCCCTGGCTCCTTGTTTTTTTTCCAAATTGGAGTGTGAAAATAGAGATATATATATATATTTATAGATGCCCAGGCAGCTGGCCAGGGCTCACACCTCCGTCTGGAAGTCACCATCAGATGCATCCAGGCCCAGACCTGCCGACTCCCAGCGAGGTGTCCTGTGCAGGCCCATCCGCTCACGGGGTTTGGGGGGCAGCGAGCCCAGCGTCATCGCCTTGAAGGTGCTCCAGCTCTGGTGTCGTTGCTGCTGCTGCTGCTGCTGCTGCTGCTGCTGCTGAGAGGGTGGCCTCTCCCCTGGGCTTATCTTCTCCTAGACAGGAAGAATAGAAAGGCAGGAAACAAGCATTTATTAAGCACCCACTATCATCTCATTTAATCCTCACTCTGGGAGGTAGGTGCTATTATTATTGCCATTTCACAGCTGAGGAAACTGAGGCAGATAGTAGTTAAGTGGCTTGCCCAGGGTCACATAGCTACTAAATATGTGAGGCTACATTTGAACTCAGGTCTTCCTGATTACAGAACCAGTGCTCTATCCACTGCACCACCTTGCTGCTGGTGGAGGTGTAGATGAAGACGCAGGGAGACCAGAAGAACTGCGCAAGCTGCACTCTTCGTTTCTCTCCCCTCACTCCTTCATGGAATATTCTTCCCCATCTTCCTCTGAAAACTCTGTGAGGTTAAGCAAACAGCTTTCACCCCTGCCTATTCCAAGTCATGAGCGTGCTCTCTCTCTCCTTTTGTCTCCTCCTCCTCCTCTCTCTCTCTCTCTCTCTCTCTCACTTTTCTCTGTCTCTGTCTCTGTCTCTGTCTGTCTGTCTCTCTCTCTCTCTCTCACTCTGTCTCTCTCCTCTCTCCTTGTCTCTCTCCTTGTCTCTCTCCTCTCTCTCTCCTTGTCTCTCTCTCTCTCTCTCTCTCTCTCTCTCTCTCTCTCTCTCTCTCTCTCTCTCTCTCTCTCTCTCTCCTCTCTCTCTCTTTTCTCTGTCTCTGTCTCTCTCCTTCTCTCTCTCACTTTTCTCTGTCTCTGTCTCTCTCCTTCTCTCTCTCTCTCTCTCTCTCTCTCTTCTCTCTCTCTCTCTCTCCTCTCTCTCTCTCCCTCTCTCTCTCTCTCTCTCTCTCTCTCTCTCTCTCTCTCTCTCTCTCTCTCTCTCTCTCTCTCTCTCTCTCTCTCTCTTTCCTTTCAGTGATTAATTACAGTTCTTAGATCTCTAGTCTAGGATTTAGAATACAGAACATTTGAGTTGGGAAGAACTTAAGAACATAGACCATCAAAGCTGGGAGGAACCTTAGAACCTAGAGTGTCAGAGCTAAGAGAGGCCTTAGAACATGGACTGTCAGAGCTGGAATGAGGCCTTAGAACATGAAATATCAGAGCTAGGAGGGGCCTTAGAACATGGAATGCCAAGCCTAGAACAGGGCCTTAGAACATGACATGTCAGTGCTGGCATAAAGCCTCAGCACACAGAATGCCAAAGCATAAGAGACCTTAGAATATATTGTGACACAGCTAGGAGGGGCCTTAAAACACAGGATATCAGAGCTGGAATGAGGCCTTATAACCCAGAATGTCTAAGCAAAAGACACCTTAGAATATATAGTGACAGAGCTGTAAGGGGATCTTAGAACCTGGAGCATCAGAGCTGGAATGAGACCTTAGAACATGGAATGTCAGGCCTAGAACGGGGCCTTAGAACAAGGCAGGTCCCAATCTGTCAGTTCTACAAAACGAACCTGAGCCAGAAAGGACCTTATAGGTCACCAAGTCAGACCCCCTCCCCCCTCATTTTACAGAGGAGAAAACTGAGGCACAGAGAGATTAAATGACCCATCCAAGGCCATGCAGAGAGTAAGTGGCTCCAGATTCAGAACTCTGCCCATATGAGGAAGTTCAATCACATATATCCAGGTCCTGATTAGTGAGAATAATGAATCCCGTGAAGGGGTCACATTCTTCAGATTTGTGCTGCATCTTTCCACTGGACTAGACCAATGACCACATTTTCCCCAGTGATAATCCTGAAGAGTGCAAATCCAAGTGCACATGATCACCTCACAGGATTTCTTGATTGCACTAACTGGGACCTGGCTGTATACCTCCAAGGCACATCAGGACGGGAAACTGGACGCTATCACACCACCCCCTCCTCCTTTAAACACTCCACAGGCAGTCAAGAGCAGCCAGGGTTCTTCCGTCCCAGGCCTGGGCTCTTTTCCCACACTGCCGCTACTGTCAGAATTGTTCCAGATGTTGACAACTTATCTCCCAATCTGGATGGGGAGCACCTTGGGATAAGGACAGATGAAGCCTTCTCTCTCTTTCACATAGCACCTAGCTTGAACAGCTGGTACAAGGCGGGGACTCAAGCAACAGAACCAGCTTCCCTTCCCTTCCTCCAACCCACATCACACTAAGCATCCCCCATGGCTCCTTGCCTAGGAAATGGATTCGCATGGATTTTAAGGAGGGAAAAGAATGAGCAAGTGAAGTGTCCTCCCCCCACAAACGCAACCCATCACTCTACCCCCAAGACTTCGTCCCCATTTGGTCTAAGAACCCCGAGAGCCAAGGGCAGCGGGTCCTGGATCATTCTGGGTGCCCCAGAAGGTGGCGCTGTAGCATCTGACTGGGGAAGGGGAGCCCTGGACCCCAGGCTAGGTACCAGCATCAACATTAATCCTTCCCAGACCAGAACCCCCCAGCCTGGCCCCAGAACCATCACTTACGGTGGAAACGCTGCGTTCAGCCCCGCCCGATGACACACTCCATCGCTTTTCTCTCTGCAGAGGGGAGGGCGGGAGTCAAGTCAGGGCCTCCGCCCACCCACCCACTGTCACATCATAGGGGTGCCCAGGGCAAGCCAAAGTATCCTAATGCTTAGATACAGGAAGATCAGGAGAAACTGAGGCCAAAGAGATTTGTCCTGAGCTGAATTTGAACCCAGATCCTCTGACTCCAGGTGATAGATCGAGTGCTTTAAGATATATCTTGGGGCAGCTAGGTGGCACAGTGGATAGAGCTCCAGCCTTGGAGTCAGGAGGACCTGAGTTCAAATCTGGCCTCACTCCACACTTACTGGCTGTGTGACCCTGGGCAAGTCACTTAATCCTGATTACCTCATCAAAAAGGAAAAAAAAAGATATATCTGGCTTTTGCACATGTATAACCTGTATCAGATTGATTGCTGTCTTGGGGAGGGGGGAGGGAGGGAGGGAGAAAAAAGTTTGGAACTCAAAATCTTATAAAAATGAATGTTAAAAACTTTCTTTGCATGTAATTGGAAAAACATAAAATGCTATCGAAGTTCGGAAAACACAAAAAGATCTATCTGGCTTCCTCTCACCTTGCCTGTGGTCGGGCCCCGGTAGCGATCAAAGGTGTGGAACTTCTGATTCAGCTCATGGTAGAGCTCTGAATGTCGCTTCCGTGTGTGCATCACCTTCTGGGGGGGGAGGGGGAGACTCAGGGGGGAGGATGCTGCTCCCCCTCCCCTTGCCCCTTAACTGCTGCCTCCGCCCTGTACGCACCACCCCCAAAGCTACCCGTCTTCCCCATCCCCTTGCATGCCTTGCTCTGAAACCTCTCAGCTACACAGCTAGTGGGAAATAGGTCCAGATACGGCCCTGAAGCCAGCCCCTCCAGCAGTGGCTTATATGACTAGGGGCTAGGGATCCAGTCTGAGAGAGTGGGTCATCCCCCTTTCCACCATTTCCTGGAAGAGCCCCCTATTCCCCTCTCACCAAAGAAAGGTCTTGGTGATTTCTGATGGGTCCTACCGAAATGGTGCCCTTTGGTACCTGGAGCCCAGGTTCTAAATCATATTCTAATTCCTTTCTCCCCAGGGCTGCAGCAGGGGGTGTCCTAGGGGGCCAAGCTATGGAGCATAAGGGAGGTTCCCCGCAAGCACCCCATTAAGCACAGCCCCCTATCCCCACAGCTCTTACCTCAAAATCCAGGTCTGAATAGCGTAACTTTTTCCGCTGGGGTTGTTAGGAGGGAAGGGGAATTGGGAGGAGGGGATGGAGAAAAAACTGTTTTAGTACATGATTGGGAGTGAAGACAAGGACTTCCCTTGGTGAGATCTGGTGTCAGGGAGCCAAGGGTACCTTATGTCCACCTGGCTGCCCAGAGCTATGGGGACAGGATCCTTAGGGCCAGGGGGAAGCCTCTGGCAGGAAGAGCACACAGCTGGCCCTGGGCATCCCCTGAGGTGGGGATGGGGGAGCACAGAGAGCTGACTGCTCCAAACTTGTGGAACACTCCAGCAGAGTAATGGAGTCAAATGGGTGACAGGGGCAGTGACTACAAGGGCATCACTCACATGCATGGTTCAGACCCACCTCCCCACAAGGCCTACAGGCCAACCGATCCCCTCCAGCTCACTGCACACAGGACATACATGTACACACAAAAGGACACATCGAGAGACACAGGTATACACACGTAGATGGAGAGGCGGCAAGAAGCACACGGTTCCCACAGAGGCCAGCCAGCAGGGGCTCCTCCCACCCTCAGCTCCCCCTCATGCTAGCTTTCTCTGTTCCTACATCCCCTCTTTCTTCCTCCTCTTCAAGCCTCCAAGGAAGAGCTGTCCCCACTCTTGGCCAAAGCCAGACCCAATGAGCATTCCCCACAACCCACATTTCTCTCTCCTACATCTTCCATCTCTTCCTCTCCTTTGTCCAAAAACATACTTGGGCACACACCACCCTTCTCTCAGAGACAAATGGTTGATGTAAGATCCTTGTAGACAAAGACTCATTACTGTTTCCCTGATGTCAAGCATACAGGAGGTGCTTAATAAATGCCTCCTAGAAGTCCTGGATTCCTTTTAGACTCAAGAGTCACCTCCTTTAGGAGGTCTTCCCTGTTCTCCCTTGCTGTGGGTGCCATCCCCACCAAGGCTGCCTTCTAGCTACTCTGTATTTAGTGTGTGTGTGTGTATGTGTGTGTGGTGTGTGGTGTGTGTGTGTGTGTGTGTGTGTGTGTTGTCTGCTGAGAAGATGTGTCATTGGACCCAAAGGACAAAAGGTAAGGAGCCACAGAGATTCCTTCTGTGGGCTAGGGACATCCCACCCCACCCCCATCTTCATGCCTGCTCCCGAAGGGCAAGGACTATTTTTGCTTTCTCCTTGTATCTCCAGAATTTAGAATGGAGCCCGGTCAACAGTCAGCCCTTAAGAGATGCTTGCTGATTCACTGACTGTTGGATTGGATTGGATGGTGTAACCGAAAAGGACAAAAGATCTGAAATCAGATGACCTGGGTATCAATGTTGGCTCTGTTCCTTCCTACCAAGATAGCCTGGGCAAGTCCCTTCCCTGGGCCTGGCCCAGATGAGGATCTGCCAAGCTCAAGGGGTTGCATTACAGCATCTCTAGGCTTTCTTCTAGGGAAGCTGGGTGGCATGGCGGATAGAGTGCCGGGCCTGGGGTCAGGAATATCTGAGTCCAAATCTGGCTTCAGATATTTCCTAGCTGTGTGACCTTGGGCAAGTCACTTCACCCAGTTTGCCTCAGTTTCCTCAACTGTAAAATGAGCTGGAGAAGGAAATGGCAAACCACTCCAGTATCTCTGCCAAGAAAACCCCAAATGGGGTCATGAAGAGTCAGACATGATTGAACAATAATGAAGACTTCTAGTTCTGAATCTTATAATCCTAGAAAAACTAACTCCTACCTTGAGATCTCATGCTTGCTTGTCCACTTGTGCTCGCTCTCTCTCTCTCTCTCTGTCTCTGTGTGTGTGTCTGTCTGTCTCTCTCTGTGTCTCTGTCTCTCTCTGTTTTTCTCTTTCTCTCTGTGTGTCTGTCTCTGTCTCTTTGTCTGTCTGTATCTCTCTGTCTCCTCTCTCTGTCTCTCTCTCTCTGTATCTCTCTTTCTCTGTCTTTCCCTGTTTCTCTTTCTCTCTGTCTCTCTGTCTTTCTCTCTCTCTGTGTCTATCTCTGTCTCTCTGTCTCTGTCTCTCTCTCTCTCTCTCTCTCTCTCTCTCTCTCTCTCTCTCTCTCTGTTTCTCTCTTTCTCTCTGTCACTGTCTCTCTGTCTCTCTATCTCTCTCTCTGTGTGCCTGTCTGTTCTCTCCCTTAGCCTCCCAGTAGCTTCCTGGGCTGGGTCGGGCCAGGTCTGCCCTACTCATCCTCACTGCATCCAGCTCCCAAAGTCATTGAGTCTCAGAACTTGAAGGAACCTTCAGCTAGCCCAGCCCCTCATTTTTACAGGGGAGAAAGCTGAGGCCTGGAAAGAGGACGAAACTTGACCCAGCCAGTGGACCTCCAGGAAGAGTCCAGGCTTCCTGGCTCCCAGGTCAACGTCTCACCTCTTACCTCCCATCTCCCTCCTTGCTTATCTGATCTGGCTACGTCCCACCCGCCTCACACATGACTGAAAACACTTCCAGGTCATTGGTGACCTCCCAGGTAGCAGATCTAGTGGCCTTTACTCATTCTTCATCTTCTCTCCCCCGGCCCCCACCATCGGACCATACGGACCACCTCTTCCTTCTGGATACTATTCCCTTGCCTTCCATGATACCACTTTCCTCATAGCTGGCTTTTAAAAGTCATAGCTGACCTTTCTTCTATCGTTATTCAATAATTCATTTTCCTTTTCTTCTCTCTTTCTCTCCACTCTCTCCCTGGGCAATTTCATCCACTCCCATGGCTTCAGTTACCCTTGCAAGTGACTCCCAAACTCCCAGTGGACATTCCAACCCAGTGACATCTGGACCAAAAGACAGGACCTGCTCTTGGACCTGCTCCTCCTCCCGACTAGAACCATATCTGTTCATGGCACCAAAAATTTGAGCGTCACCTCTGAACGTTCCTTCCTGCTTTACCAGCCACCAGGTCCCTATGATCTTTTTTTCCCCTTCAAAATGTCACTCTTCTCTGTCTGACTCCTCTCCGCTCCCAAAGCCCCCCACCCAAATCTAGGCCTTCGTCACCTCTTGCCTAGACCATCAAAACAGCTTCTTTCAATGTCTCCCTGGGCCCTCTCTCTAATTCAGCCTTTCTAAGACCTAGCTTTCATCATCACTCCCAGACTTCAGCTCCTCTATGGACTGCTTCAGAAGACTGGAAATAGGAAAGGAAAGAAGGACCAAAGAATCATCCCCCAATTATCCAGGACATGGTCCGAACTAGAGAAGCACAATTAGTAAGTTCATGCCCCGGGACCCTGTTGACACTTCTCAGCATCAGTCCCCTTGAGTTTAATGGAGAAACCAAGCTTTGATTACAGACAGAAAAGCCTCCCCTTTAGGGGTGATAAGAAGACAAGCCCACAAAAATCAGGGAGGCCATCATCTAAAGTGGGGTGCTAGGTCAGGGCTGGCAGAGAGCTTTCCCTTAAACTTGTTTTTCTGTCTCTCAAATCTCTGTCACCATTGACCCAGCAACCCCCAATGGTATCTGTGATTCTCTCCTCTCCCTCACCTCGTTTTCTGTCCTGGGGTTCCCACCTTCACATTCTCTCTAGAACCCATCCCCTCATCTCTACTCCTACTCTAGTATAACAGAGGCCCTCATTTGCCAGGCTCTAGGATGACTGTGACAGCCTCCCATCACATCTTCCCACCTCCATCCTCTTCCCCCCATAATCCATCTGTTGCACTTGGCCGGAATAATCTCTGTGAATAACTCTCCTGGTTACATCACTTCTCTGCTCAGAAATCGTCAACATTCGCTACCATCTACAGAGCAAAGTTCAGACTCCTCTGCCTGGCATTCAAGGCCTTCAGTGAGTTAACGTCACTCTGCCCCTCCAGCTTTATCTCATACTTCTCCCATGTACTCTATGTTCCTGACAAACTGAATTCTTTTCTTTCCCTTCAACATCTGTTCTCATGACTCTGTGTTCCTATGCCTTGTCTACGCCCCTGTTGCCTTTTGAATTCCTACCTGTCTTCTTAAGGCCCAATCTAAATGCTGCCTACTCCAGGAAGCCTTCCCTGATTTCCTTACCCTTCTGGTTCTCCTGTGACTGAACCCTAACCTCCTCCCCATGGATTTTGCTTCGTTTGTCCCCTGCCCTTTTATCTGGGTGTGAATTACCATGAATTACTAGATGCTGAGTTCCATGAGGGCAGGGCCTAGATCTCTCCTAAACTTTGTATTCCCCACAGCCCAGAACACAGTTCTGGGAGAGGGTTACTGAGTTGAAACTGAAGGATCTGAGGGAGGCTGGAAAACTCGGGATAAACAAGAAAGATCCTAGCCCGAAAGGCAAATGGAAGCCTGTTCCTGAGCTTAGCAGTTCTCCCCAATGACAGGGGCCAGCAGGGCCCAGCTGGACACACAGGACTGGGGGTGCGCCTGCCCCACCCTCTCCAACAGCCTCCTCACCTCCAGAGAGCCCAGCTTCAAGGTGGAGCCGGGCACAGTCCGGGGCATGGTGCGGCTGCGTTCGCCGGGCTCAGGGGTGGGGCCCTGGCGAGCACCAGATGGAGCCGGGGGCGGGGGCTGGAAAGGCACCCCATAGGGGTTCTGCAGAGTTCCATAGGCTGGGCCCAGGCCCAGATGGTCCACGGACAGGAAGCTGGGATAGGCCTCTGTCTGAGACAGCCCCTTCCCCCCACGACGGGGGGTGCCCTCGGGCCTCGCCCGCTTGGCCTCCTCCCGGCCACCAGGCTGGAGGCTCAGAGTCCTCCGGGGCAGCACCGTGTACTCTCCCTCGCTCCCGGGGTCCCCAGACCGCAGCCAGGTATAGTCCAGCTGCCTGAGGCTGCTCTCCCCACACATGTACACGGGGTTGGTGTCATGTGGGTGGGGGGGCTCGCCTACGCCGGGAGAGGGCACTGGCATTGGCACCAAGATGTTGCCTGGCAGTGGGGAGAAGTTCAGCCCGCTCTCTGTGCCCATGAGGCAAGGCTTGGAGTCCTCATCCTCATCCAGCGACAGGCGGGACAGCGTGGCTGTGATGGTGGAGGGGTTGCACGTGTTGACTTCCTTGAACAGAACTGGTGGGGGGCAAACGTTGGGGGCGGGGGAGAGGATATGGATTCAGGTATGCTGAAGGGCATCAGTGCCTACCTCCAGCCCTCCCCCAAAGCCCATTTCCAGGACAGACCTGGAGGAGGCTCTGGCAGCCACAGTGGAAGAGCGAGCTCATCTCCTGCCTGCCTAACTGACCTTAGGTCCAGGTACTGTACCAGGGTCTCAGAAGAGAGGGAGGGACCCCAGAGTCATAGACTGTCATAGATGGAAGGGCCTTACAGATCATCTACTCTGAGGCCCAGGGAAGAGTCACAGAATAATTCAGCAGCAGAGCCAGGACCTGATCCCAGATTAGGCCACCTTCTAATAAGATCACACTAATGCTACCAGATGCCCACTAACCCCCTCCCCTCACTCCCTCACACACATACACACTCCTCCTTCCCCTTCCCTCCCCCATATATCACATATGTATCCTTCCTGCCCAAAGTGGGTCCCTCCCCTCTTTCTGGGCAGAATAGCCAAGTTATCATGAGACCTCGCAGCCTCGAGGCCCAGAAAGAGGACCCCTCCACATCCAGGTCATTAGCAAAGGCCTCCCCTTCCCCACCCAGGCTCCCCTCCCCTTCTCCCTTCCCCATCTGGGGTCTCACCACTCTCACCTGTCTGACACGCCAAGTCCACATCCTTTTCAAAATCTGTCTATAGGCAGAGAGGGGAGGGGGTTGGAAAGGAGGGAGGGGAAAGGATAAAAGGGGCAGTGGAAGGAAGAGGATCTCCTCCTCCGTCCCTAGACCTCCCCTTCTTCCATTCCCCAAAGCTTGGTGGAAGGAAGCTAAATAGGACAGAGTGTCAGCACTGGAAGGTAACCCTAAAATAGGGAAACCAGAGCCAGGAAGCACCTCAGAGATCAAATTTAACCCCTTCTTTTTACAGACAGGGAAACTGAGGCCCTGAAAGGAGGCACACCTTGCCCAAAGTTGCCAGTGAATTAGTCAGTGGCAAGGGCGGGAGGAGAACCCAGCTCTCCCTACTCAGCCTCTCACACCATGAGAATACTCTCACGTTTCAGTCAGGTCCAGCCCCTTTCTTCCATCCTTTCCCCCAGCCCCAGAAGTCAAGGAGCTAGCCCCATCTACATAGCTCTCAGTCTTCCCCAAGGTTAACCCTTGAGGTGACACGATGTGAGAAGTGGAGATGCTGGAGAGGGACACGAGCAGTGGGGATGTGCCCCAGCCACCCTCCCAGGGGTGCCCACATGCCCTGCCCTGCCCAAATCACTCACCATGACCTGGATCTGCCCATTCTTACAGGACCCGGGGGAGTTCTCATTCTCCTGGCTCTTGCAAACTCCAATTTGGCATTTCACCACATCTTGGACCTAGGCCAGGCAAGAAGCACTCACTGGGCATGGGCCCTCCTGGACCCAGCAGAAAAGCCACAGGGAGCCTGATGGGTCTTAGACCATGACTGGACACTGGGTCCTGGTTCTAGGCACACTCTACTACCGAGATCCTCCCCCTGAATGATGGGAGCTGCCCGGGCACTCTGGTTCAACTCAGTTCCTCTCTCCTCTCAGAGACAGCTACTCACCATCCCAGATCCTTCCCGCCCTGCAGCCTGACCCTCCCTCCTCACACTCCCTTAGGCCTGACCTGCCCACACTCATGTAAAACAGAACCTCCCGTTCTACCAGGAAGAGACAGAGATAAGGTCCGGTAAGAACAGATAAAAGACTTGTGGATCAAGGGAGAAAGCAGAGATAGATGAGGGGAGGCTTAAATGGGGGAGAGACACCAGGAATAGACAGGAGATATCCAGAAGCTGAATAAGAATGGGAAAGGTGAGATGAAGAGAAGCTGAGGGAGAGGGAGAGGGAGAGAGAGAGGGAGAGGGAGAGAGAGAGAGAGAGAGAGAGAGAGAGAGAGAGAGAGAGAGAGAGAGAGAGAGAGAGAGAGAGAAAGGAAGAGGAGGGAGAGAGAGATGGAGGGAGATATGGAGAGGGTGGGAGATATGGAAAGGGAGAGGGAAAGAGAGAGAGAGATGGAGGAAGATATGGAGAGGGAGAGGGAGAGAGACAGGAAGAGGGAGAGAGAAAGAGATGGAGGGAGATATGGAGAGGGAAAGAGAGAGAGGTGGAGGAAGATATGGAGAGGGAGCGAGAGGGAGGGAGAGAGAGAGAGAGAGAGAGAGAGAGAGAGAGAGAGAGAGAGAGAGAGAGAGAAAGGAAGAAGAGGGAGAGAGAGATGGAGGGAGATATGGAGAGGGTGGGAGATATGGAAAGGGAGAGGGAAAGAGAGAGAGAGAGATGGAGGAAGATATGGAGAGGGAGAGGGAGAGAGACAGGAAGAGGGAGAGAGAAAGAGATGGAGGGAGATATGGAGAGGGAAAGAGAGAGAGGTGGAGGAAGATATGGAGAGGAGAGGGAGGGAGAGAGAGAGAGAGAGAGAGAGAGAGAGAGAGAGAGAGAGAGAGAGAGAGAGAGAGAGAGAGAGAGAGATGAAGAAGAAGAGGGAGAGAAAGAGAAATGCCACTGGAAAGGCACAGAAAGACTGGGGTTGGTGACAGGGAGATACTGGGCTATATGGGGCTTGGAGAGCCCCACAGAACAAAGCTGGACAAGTGTCCAGCAAGGAGACCCAGATTCTGACTCTCTGTTGTTGAATCATTTCTGTCATGTCTGACTCTTCATGACTCCATTTCAGGTTTTCTTGGCAAAGATACTGGTGTGATTTGCCATTTCCTTCTCCGGCTCATTTTACACATGAGACACACAGAGTTAAATGACTTGCCCAGGGTCACACAGCCAGTAAGTGTCTGAGGCTGGATTTGAACTCAGGTCTTCCGGATTCCCAGCCCAGTGCTCTATCTGCTGTGCCACCTAGCTGCCCTTCATCTGCCACAAGAGCAGACACAGAGCTCTCAACCCTACAGAGAGGAGCCATGTTCCTCTGCCCTCCCCCATTTGCTGCCTGAGCCTCACAGAGTCCCAAGGACACAGGGGAAGATGGGAAGGATGGAGCTTTGCCCAGAGGGGTTAGCCTAGCCCGGCAGGTGGGGGGCCCTGTGTCCAGCACCCATCTCCAATACTCTCTGTGACCTCAGGGTCAGGACCCTCTCCTCTCAGGTCCTCGCCCTCTCCCTCTGCCTAATGGGGCGGGTATTCAGAGACAAAGACTGCAAGGGGCAGAGGCCCCTGGGAGCCTGGGCCCCGGCGACAGGATCGGCGTTCTCACCTCTCTTCGAAGAAAGCAGTGCACGGCAATGATGACGAAACCTTGGACAGAGTTGAAGATGGCAAAGAGGACCTGGAAGAGGATGGAGCGTCGGTCGGTCATGGCCAGAACGGCGGACATCCAGGTGAGGGCGAGCAGAGGCAGCACCACGCAGGAGCTCCAGAGCGAAGCCCTGCAGGGAGGAGAGGAACGCACAAATGGGCACGTCAGCCCCTCCACACACCCACACTCCTCCTAGGCCAGAAGGTGGGAGATCGGGGCTCAAGCCGCAGGGACCCTCCAAGACACAGGGGATGAAGGAGGCAGCTGGGAAGATTCAGGCCCAGAGTCAGAGAGAGACAAAGAAGAGAAAAGCAGAGACAGAAAGACCCCAAACTGAGAGAGATCCAGGGACAAACAGAGAGACCACAGGACAACGGAGCTGGAAGAGACCCTGGGAGTTTCAGCGCTCTCATACAGAATGGGAAACCAAGGCACGAGGAAATTAAGCGCCCTGCCCCTAGTCACAGGCACTCAAGATCAGAGACAAGATTCGAACAAAGGTCTTGACTTCGGAGTCGTCCCTTTCTCATCATGCTGTGTGGCCTCCCAGAGAGAGACCCCGGAGAGAAAAGAGAAGTGAGTGGACGTGTGCCCACAGAGGGGGACGCAGGGGAGGGACGAGTGCAAAGAAGGGGGAGCCATTGTGAACGGGACAGATACAGAAGGGGTGTGTGTGTGTGTGTGTGTGTGTGTGTGTGTGTGTGTGTGACAGAGAGACAGAGAGACAGAAAGAAACTCTGAGACTGAAAGAAAGGCACAGACAAGATGAAGAGAGCAATAAAGGGGACAAGTCCATCTGAAACACATGCACCACTCCCTCCCCAGACTGCGGGTGCATCCCCGGCCACTGAGCACCAGGATGCCCAAGGACTCCACCAGGCCCTGCTTCATCAGATGCCCTTGCCCCACTTCCTGACTCATTCCCCTTCCCTCTCCCTGCCCCAGCCCCACAATTGAGGGGGTCAGAGGAGGGGGGAGCAGAAGCACTGAGGGCCCCCCACGCCCAAGGGGAAGAAGGAGAATGGCTGGCAAGATTCCAGGGCAGGGCGTGGGGAGGTCCCCACTCTTACCCCCACTTCTACCTGGCCACTCCGCCCCCACTGGCATTAGTGGTCACTGCCTGTGGCAGGTGCCCATGAGGATGGCAAGGGTCAGACCAGAGGTCTGCCTGGGCTCACAGCATCATAAGTGAGACACTGATGAGCTGGAAGATGTTGAGGGGCCTGGAAAGCCCATCCCAGGAAGATAAATAGAAAGAACTAGGGGTGTTTGACCTAGATAAGAAAAGTAGGGGTCAGTGGGAGGGGGGGTTACACTAGTCTTTAAGTGTGTGAAAGGCTGTCTTGAGGAAGACAGGGCAGACTCTTGCTCCCTTCAGCCCCAGAAGGCACTAGAAGCCGTGGGTAGAAGGTGCAGACAGGACTTTGCTTCTGTATCTCAAAACAGAATGGGCTACCTTCTGGGAGGTAGTGAGCTCCCTGTTACTGGAGGTCTTCAAGCAGAGATGGAACTGACCACTTACTTGCCAAAGGTGATGCAAGTGGGGTTTCTGCTTAAGTATAGGTTACCCTCTGAGGGCCCCTTCTATAGTTTTCAAAGGACTGAGGGTACGAAGGGGCTTTAGAAATCCATGAGGCCAACCCACCTCCCTTTTGTTTTAAAGAAGAAAGCTGAGGTCAGGGGTAAGGGAAGTGAATTGTCTAAGGACACACAGAAGTGATAGAGTCGGGATTCAAACCCAGGTCCTTGGACTCCAAATGGCAGCCGCCAGAGTTTTAGACCAAGGAGACAGGACAGGCCGGAGGGAGGGGGAGGTGCCTGTTCTCTGGGTCCCCTCCTCCAGGAAGGGGCACCTGGGAGCCCTGGAGGTCCCTGAGCGCCCCCAGCTCCAGCCCCCACTTCCCCACCCTCCGCCCAATCCCCCCTCTCCCCACCCACCCCCGCCCGTGGGGCAGGACTAACATGGCGTTCCTGGCTGTGACCGAGCTGAGCAGGGGGCTGGGGACCATTCCACAGGCCGAGCAGGGGAGGAGGAGGAGGCTGGCACAGGGGAGCCGCTGCGGGCTTGGGGGGGCACAGACACAGGGGAGGAGAGGAACGGATGGAAAACCAGGGAGAGATGGAGGCAGAGCCACCCCCAGGGCGGTGGGGAGGGGAAGGGCAGACGAGAGAAAGAAAGAGCCCGGTTAGTGTGGGCAAGGCCACGGCCCTCGTCGTCACCATAACTGCCTACGTTCCTAGACTGTGCAAAAGCACTTGCCTTGAAGAAGCCCAAGGTAGGGCTAGGTAGGCGGTACAGAGTGCCATTAGCCCCACTTTACAGATGAGGAAACTGAGTCCAAAAGAAGGTCTCCTAGCTCAAAGCTTTGGGAACTAGGATTTGAACCCAGGTCTCCTGATCTCAGGTCTTATGCTCTTTCCATCACACTTGTCGGGACGATTGCTTCACTCCTGCCCTCCTTCCCTCTTGAACTCCGTGTGTGTGCACACGTTAACGGCCACAGGCCTATGGGTGTAGGGGAGGCTCTTCACAGCTCAGGTCCCCTGGGGACACCCCTCGATACCCCGTAATGCCAGGAATAGGAGCCAGCAGTCACCAGGGCTCGGTGGGGACAGCGGTGGGCAGGAGAGGGCAGGGCCCAGGACCCCAGGGTCTGGCTTACGCAGCGCGCTGCTTCTTAGACTTGTCTGAAATTCCATCCCGGGTCATAAGCTTGTTAAAAACGATGATTCCAATGAGCATGTTCACCTGAGAAACAGCGGGGAGGGAGGAAGGACAGAGAGGATCGCAAGGTGCCTTCCGTGCCGGGGGGGCGGGGCAGAGATCCACTCCCTCCCGATGCCCAGAGCCCCGCCCAAGGACGCTGGAGAGACCGAGGCAAGGAACACCTACCAGGACGATGACCGCTGCGGGGCCCACGAAGGCGTAGAGGAGCCCCCCCTCCAGGGACAGCCAGCAGCTGTGACACAGAACACAGACGGTCAGAGGCAGAAGGGACCCTAGTACCCAGGATGCCACTTCACAAGGACCGAACCTCCTCAGTTCACGTACAGGTAAACTCAGGCTTAGGGAGATGGAGCTCATCACACCCTCCCTTCCCCATACCCCATTCTGGTCCCCACTCAGCCAAACCACCCCAGGGGACCAAGCCCTTCCACCGCGTCCCATCACTCACTAGCAGCCCCAGTTTCACATCTGTATGGTATTTCACACATCTCAAACCTCTGAGACACTGTCATTGGACTTTGCTGCCAAGGGGCATCCTAGAGATCAAGTCTACCTCCCTCATTGTACGTCAGGGTAAACTGAGGCATGGGGAGGGGGAGGGGCTTGCCTTACATCACCCAGTGAGCTCAAAGCAGACTTGTAACCAGAAACCAGGTCTGGCCCACTCCTGGGGCTAGGGCTCACCTCCCACTGTTGGAACCCCTGGTTTCCTTTAACCCTCGGGGCAAGGACCCGCCCCCGTGAAGGCTTTCCTGCTCTAACCCTCTCCCCGAGCTGTCCTGCCTTCATTTTGTCCACACGTGGGTATATACTTGTATATGTGCATGTGTCCTCGCCTAGATTATAAGCACCGTAAGGGCAGGGACCCTTTCACTTAGTGCAGGGCCTAGCACACAGTGAGTGTTCAATAAATGATCCTCCCCTCCCCTCTTCAGACCTGCCCCCCTCCCCAACCCTGGGTTCAAGCACCCACCCACCCCCCTTCTCTGAGTGTCTCACGTACTAGCTGGCTGTGCCATAGCCTTTCGTCCGGGTGAAGCCAACAGACACAGCCACCACCAGGGCCGGCAAACCTGGGGAAAGAGGGAGGTCAGGAGATGGGTGAGAGGGAGGGGGAGAGGACAGCGGGGAGAGGCCGGGAGCTTCCCCCTGCCTCCAGGCGCAGAGAGAGACAGAATGTTAGCAATCAGAGGGCCATCCAATCCAACCCCCTCATTTTACAGATGGGGAAACTGAGGCCCAAAAGGTGATAATGATGAGTTAGTAGAAGAGCTAGGATTTGAACTGGGCTCTCCTGACTCTCAGCCTGGTGGGGGTGACTCCTGTGGTCTCTCTGCTCTCCTTGGTCCTAAGCTCAAGCCCCAGCACACCCAGTCAGCAGCTAAGGGCAACTGAGCAAGCCGGGGCCAGGGGCTGGGATGACAATGATGGCTCCTGGCCTTTCCTTCCTTCACTACAGTCCTCTGGGAGGCAGAGGCCCAGAGAGAGGCCCCCAAGGTCACAGCAAGCTGATGGTGAGATTGGAACTCAAGTCTCCCGACTCCCAGCCCAGGCACCTTTCCCAGGCTTCCCCAAATCTTATTCTGACCATACGGCCCACCCAGCTCAGCACCCCCACCCACCTGCCCGCCCAGCCTCCATTTCTCTTGGGGATCCCAGGATATCAGACCTGGGGCCAGAGGGGACCTTGGAGGTCACCTAATCCAACCTTCTAACACAGGCAAGGAGCCGAGGCCCAGAGGGGGAGTGCCTGCCCAAGGTCACACAGGTGTAAGGGGTGAAGTGAAGGTGGGCCCTAGCGGGGAATCCCCTCGGCTGGCCTCCCCTCGGCTGGCCTCCCCCTGGCCCCCACTCACCCCACCCCAGGCACAGGAAGCGCTTGCGGACGAGGCGTGTCCGGATGCGGCCGATGACGGACAGGTAGGACTGCCAGGCCTCGGTAAGCACCCAGCAGAAGGAGGAGAGGAAGAAGAAATGAAGGAATGCTGCTGTCATAGTGCAGACACCCTGGAACAGGAGGGAGGCACCTGTTCCCCCAGCTGGTCCCTCTCTCAGCAGAGGCGAGCCTCTGCCTCAGCTGGCGTGACGGATGCCAGGCCAGGCGGCCAGCAAGGTCACGCCATCACGGGGACCGGCGAGCCCGTTCTCCTTCATTTAACACACAGGGAAACAGAGGCTCGAGAGGGTAAACAATTGACCCGTGGCCACAAAGACAGTGAGTGCTGGAGGAAGGGATCGCTTGACTCCACCTCCAGAACCCTTACCACTTATAGGGAGGATGCTACAGCTAGTAAGGAGCAGAGTTGGGATTTGAACCCAGGCCCCTTGACTCCAAATGTAATGCCCCTTTCAGGTCTGTGCTGACTGTCCTTGTCTTCAGGTGTGCCTCTGCTGTGTTCTCAAACAGAGTGGGCATGGCCACCTGGCAGCTGCTTCAGGCTCCTGCAGAGCGTGAAGGTGCCGGGCCCCATCCCTCCCTCTTCCCAGCAGCGCCAGAGCCTCAAGGAGCGCCCCCAACTTCCAGCGCCCACACACAGCACGACGCAGGCCTGGTGACACGCACAGGCAGCCGGGAGAGGCGGGGAGGCCACCCACGCTCCGACGCAGTTCCAGGGACAGACACAGAATCAAAGCCTCGCTGTGACAGGGGTAGGCAAGCATGCCTGGACTAACCGGTGTGTAAACACATACACAAGCACGCACACTCACGCACGCATCCTGACATAGCCCCCCACATGTGCGCAGAGACACCAGCAGAAGAGGATTCTGCTCCCGAGGCCCCCCGACACCTGCCTTGCTTAAAATCTGGGACTGCCCCACCAGGATGAGCACGTTGGAAGCCAGAATGGAGACGCAGAAATTCAGAAGGATGATGGAGCGCTCAGACTTGATGAATCTGGGGGACAGAAGAGGCATGGGAAGAGGCGCCCACTCCGGAGGGGCTGGGGCTCCCCCTGCCCACTTGGGTGGGGCACAGACACAGTCACCACCTGGCCCCAGAGTGCACCTGGGGTGGTCCTGCTGGTCTCTACCAGCACTCACACGCCTACAGTGCTTTACAGCAACCCTGTAGGCAGCCCCAGCATTACTATGCCCATTTCACAGAGGAGGAAGCCAAGGCCCTGAGAGGGGAAGGGACTTGCCTAAGATCATACCGTTGTTATGTACCAGAACTAGGATCTAGAACCCAGGGTTCTAGACTCTAAATTCCAGAGTTCTTTCACCTGACAGGGGCAAGGCTACACGGCCTTTATCTCAGCCCCCAGGCACCTCCCTCCATCTCCCCTGAACCCATGTGCCCACTGTGCCTTGGCCCTCACGTGCATGCACCCACCTCCAAAAGGCAGCATAGATGGCAAGAAGGGTGAGCAGGGCCATGCAGGAGACAGCGCAGCCGATCATGAGGGGCACGGAGGGGGCACCTGAGAGCTCCAGACTCTAGGCCAGAGAGAGGGGGTGTCAGGGAGCAGTAGAGGGGGCCGGGGCGGGGGAGTCCTCAGAAAAAGGGCACCTCTGGGCTCTAGCTCTATCCACGCACTCCCCCTGGGGATTCTCTATTGAGAACAGGGTCAGATGAGACTGTCCATGCTGGTGACTCTCTTTGTGAGTCACAGGAATCATACACAGCATGTCAGCCAAGAGGGGCCTTGGAACACAGGATGTCAGAGCCAGGAGGGACCTTAGAACATAGGATGTCAGAGGTGAGAGGGAGTATAGAACATAGACTGTCGGAGGTGTGAGGGACATTAGAACATAGGATGTCAGAGGCAAGAGGGGCCTCAGAACACAGGGAGGGTCCTTAGGACACAGAATGTTAGAGCTGGGAGGGCCCCTGGAACACAGAATGTCAGAGCTAAGAAGAATATTAGAGTATGGAATGTTAGAGGTGTAAGGAAATCTAGAATATAGAACATAAAAAACAAATGGCCTTAGAATACAGTGTGTCAGTGGAGAAGGGTCTCAAAGATCACCTAGTCTGACCCTCCCGTTTTACAGACAGAGAAGCTGAGCCTCAAAATGGGGGAGGGACTTGCCCCAGGTCACCTGCAGTCATTCACAGAGGCACCTCCATGGGCGCTCTAGGGAGGGGCAGCCCAGGGTCGGAGGCGGGGAGGCGGGAGAGAGGGAGGCTTGTCCATATGGACCCCTCCTGGCTACGTCCACGTACATCCACACATGGACGTGGAACACTGGAACAGCTTTCTCATTCACACACGTGCACACACCCCCTCACCAGGTCCTTGGGCAGCTGCGCGAGGACAGCGAAGGTAGACAGCTGTTGGCATTGGCAACGAGTATGGGCAGGCTGGGTCTCCAGGGTCTGGCAGCTCTCCGTGTCCCACTCCCCGGAGCTGGCATCCCTGCAGATGGGGAGGTAACCTTGTCACGGGGGGAGAGGGACCAGAGGAGACCCTGTCCCTCCTGCCCCTGGCCAACAATGCCAAGCAGATAAGGGCTGGTCTGAATGCCTCAAAGCTGGGGGGGTCTTGGTGAGCGCAGGGAGATGGGCTGACCCCCCAGATGACCAGTACATGAAGCACAAGATCCCCTGGGTGCTCAGGAAGAGAAGAACGGTGAAGGTGAATCATGTTCACGTGGGCCTAGCTGGGCACTGCTCTCAGAGATGAAGGTGCCACGGGCCCTCGGCCCAGGCTAAGTCTCCATTGCCCCCCAACGGCCCTGCCTTCCCACGGCCAGGCAGGCCTCACCTCTGGGTTCCTGGGTACTCACGCTCTAGAGTAGTCCCATGTGGCACAGTGGGGATCTGAGGTACCCTGTGGAGTAGAACGTCCAATGGAGTGATGAGGAGCCAGGCCTAGGCCCCAGGCCCATCCCCTCACCCCCTGCCCAACCCTGGAGAAGTGTGAGACCAGAGGATCAGAAAGATGGAAGATGTGGGATACTGATGCAGAGAAAGGGGGTGCCCACTGAGAAGAGACTGATTCCAGAGGTGGGGCTGCAACCAGGGAGACTGAGACACAAGGGACTCCACCCTCCCCACTGCCATCTAGGAGAGGACATGAGCCCCCCAGGGCCTGGGATCCTGGGATCCCTGGGCCTCACTCACATTGATGACATGGGACAGCTCCACAGTAATGAGGGGTTCTGTTGGCTTGGTGGGCGGCCGCACCGTGACTGTCAGGACCCTGGAGGTGACCGCCAGCGGGGGCCTGTAGACAGAGGGAGTGGGTGTGGGGGCTTGGCAAAGCAGGGACCCCTCATCCTTGGCTCCCCCTGGGCTGCGGGAGTCTGGGGTCCATCTGATTTGGAGGACACCCGGGGGACCCCCAGACTCGGCTCTTACCTGGGTGCTGGCAAGATGAGGCCCAGAGTCCGGTACAGCACGGCCCCAATCACAAAATAGGATGATTCGTCTGTTTCTGTGGGGAGAGGGAGCCGCTGGGTAGAGTGGATCAGGGGGTAGAAGGGAGATGCGTGGAAACGAGGCCGGGAGCAGGGCAGGTCTTACCAGAAGATGGGAGGCTCAGCACCTCTTTGGGCAAGAAGAGCCGGTCCTCAGAGTGCCGGGCCCAGTCCTTCATGCCCCGCCGGCCCCTCATGGGAAAGGTGATGTCACTGGAGACAGCAGAAACTGGCTCCCTCTGAATGCTGATCACTGGGGTGGGGATGGGGACGGAATCCCAGACACAGAGAGAGGCGTGCATACAGAGACAAAGAGATATGAAGAAATGCAGAGAGAGACCAGAGACACAGACGAGGAAAGAGAAAGCATGCAGAGATGGAGGGACACAGAAACCATCACACAGGGAGAGGCACAGAAAGACAGAAGAGGGGAAGGAGGGAATGAAGAGGGAAATGAATTAGTGGCCCATCTCCCTATTTAACCATCCAGGTCTGTTTCACTCCCACCCCCCACCTCACCGCTCCTAGGTAAACGCGGCCTGTCCCATACCCAGGTTGTCGGTGACAATGAGGGAACTCTGAAAAGCCTTGAGCGCATCTCCCACCAGGTGGATGAAATCCTCCACCACCCGCAGCAGGTGAACAGAGCCCGGGGACACCTGGAAGGCCACAGGGAGCATGAGGAGCCTGGCGGCCCAGGGTCCAGGATGGGGCTCCTGATGGTGGCTGCGGAGCCCTTCACTGTCCCACCACCCACAGCCTCAGGATCAGCTCTCCCTGCGCCACAGGCTGGCCCACCCCCCTCCTCTGGGGCAGCATCCCCCCTCCCTCTCTCTCTCTCTCTCCCCCCTCCAAATGGCCCCTACCTGTTGGGCATCATCCCATTTCTCCTTGTTCTCTGCATCCACCATGTAGCTGACAACCTGAAAGAAGCGCTGTAGGGGAAGGGAGAGGATCTTAGGGGGTGCTGAGGGCACCTGGAGCCAAGGCTGGCACTAAGGTATGTGTAGTGCCAGCCCACAGGATGCCAGGCTTCTCACTACATCCTGGCACTGCCCCTGCTCCCCAACCCCAGATTGAGAGCTCCCGAATAGTGAGGGTCCTTCATGCTTCCTCCCCTACCTGCCATGTCCCCTGAGGCAAGCTGCTGTCTATGAGGGAGCTCTCAGGGCACAGCTGAAAAGACAGGGACTCTGGAGATGGATTCTAATCCTGCCTTCCCCGGGTACTCATTGTGTGACTAGCTCATCCCCTCTCCTCCGCCAGGCCTAGCTTCCCCCATCTATACAATGAGGGGGTCAGGCTGGATGACCCCTCCCGACTCAGCGCTAAGCACCCAGCCCGGCCACCTGGACGTCATCCGCCGAGGGCACGTAGGTGGCTCTCTTGAAGGTGTCAGTGACATTCCTCAGGATGTCTACAGAGAACAGCAGGTCCCCACTGTAGTAGGTGCGCCGGGCCAGAAGCTCCAGCAGACTTCGGACCACCTGAGACATGCCCTCGCCAGCCAGCATGCGCTGGCCCTTGGCCAGGTGTTCCCGCAGCTGTGGGGCAAGAGGGATGTGGGGGGGGCAGGGTCAGCTCTAGCCTCTCACCATGGGCCAACTCAGACCCCACCCAACTCAGCCACAGTCCTAAATGTGCCAAGTCTGCCACTTAGGGGCCTGGAGAGAGAGTCAAAGACACATAGAGAGATGCTGTTGGGAGAAACAGAAATACCCAGAGAAAGGCAGATGTATTAAGAGAGAGAAGGGTGAGGGATACCAGAGATAGGAGAAAATGCAGAAATAATCACCTGGAGGGAGAGATAGCTAAAGAAAGAGAGACAGGGAGAAAGAGAGACAAGGAGAAAGAGAGACATATAAAGAAGGAATGCATTAGAGAGGGCCAGAGAGAGAGAGAGAGACAGAGACAGACAGACAGAGGGAGGGACAGAGAGAGAGGGAAAGAGACAGAGAGAGGACAGAGAGAGAGAGAGAGAGAGAGAGAGAGAGAGAGAGAGAGAGAGAGAGAGAGAGAGAGGGACAGCAACAGAGGGACAGAGACAGACAGACAGAGGGAGGGACAAAGAGAGATAGAAAGGGAGAAAGAGAGAGGGAGAGAGACAGAGGGACAGAGAGACAGACAGAGGGACAGAGAGAGATGGAGAGAGAGGGAGAGAGACAGAGGGACAGAGACAGACAGACAGAGGGAGGGACAGAGAGAGGGAAAGAGACAGAAGGACAGAGACAGAGAGAGGGACAGAGAGAGACAGAGAGAGAGAGAGACAGAGAGAGAGAGAGAGACAGAGAGAGAGAGACAGAGAGAGAGAGAGAGAGAGACAGAGAGGAGAGAGAGAGAGAGACAGAGAGACAGAGAGAAAGAGAGGGACAGCGACAGAGGGACAGAGACAGACAGACAGAGGGAGGGACAAAGAGAGACAGAGAGAGAGAAAGAGAGAGAGGGACAGAGACAGAGGGACAGAGACAGACAGACAGAGGGAGGGACAGAGAGAGAGAAAGAAAGAGAGGGAGAGAGACAGACAGACAGAGGGACACAGAGAGAGACAGAGAGAGAGAAAGAGAGGGAGAGACAGAGGGACAGAGACAGACAGACAAAGAGAGGGACAGAGAGGGAGAGAGAGGCATAAGCAAGGAAATCTGGAGGCACAGAGAGACAAGGAGAGGAGGACACTTGAAGAGAGACAGACACTGAAAGAATGGAGGGATATACATAGAGAGAGAGGCAGGGGGAGACAGAGCCACCTGGGAGACCAGCAGAGACAGAGATACCCAGACAGGGGCAGGTGGAGACAAGAACAGAAGGATATACACATAGACCCAGGGGTGGAAATATGCACACATACTGATGGGATTTGATCCCCAGGGGATGGAGGTCCCAATAAGCCCCGCCCACCCACACACTCCTGGGTATCACAGCTGGAGGTGGCAGAGGGGAGGGTCCTGGGTTGCACCCACCGAAAGGTGCAGGTATCGGTATTCATGTGAGATGCACCGGGCAAAGCTGGGCAGGCCCCAGTAGGCAACCCCCTGGGCACTGAGCAGACAGCGGCGGCTGGCAGACCCTGGAAAAGAGAAGAACGCCCAGCATGGAGAAGGATGAGGAGCATTGCCCCGTGGGAAAAGGGCCCAGGTGATGGCAGCCTCCTACCTGTGGCATTGGGTGGGCATTTATTGTAGATGATTTCGCCCGCTGCTGTCTTCTTCCAGGTCATCAGCATGACGTACTCATCCCTGCACATCTCATGGAGGGCTAAGGGGAGCAGCTCAGCCTGAGCCCGATGCCTGACTGACCCTGCTCCCAGTCCCCCAGAGGATCCCCAAATCCTGAAGCCTTCCTAAGTGTGGGAGGAACCTCAGAAGGCATCTTGTCCCCATCCAACAGGAAGCGGCTGTGATGGGAAGCCCCCCTCCTTCCAGGGCAGCCCAACCTCCCTTCAGACGGCTGACAGCTGGCAGGTTTTTCCTCCCATCTGGCTGCAATCTTGCTCCTCGGTCCAGGGCCACCAGCCTAACGCCACCTTCCTAGCCCACGGCATTCCTCCAGCTGAATGACCCTGAGCGTTCTCCTTCACTCGCCCTGGCACCCAGCCCCTGCTGCACAGCATGCCGGGATCCCAGCCCCAGAGGGTACCTGGACACTTCTTTTCGCTGCATGTCTTCACCTCCTCACCGCTGCCCTCACAGGGGTATCCCTGGACCCCCGTGCCCTGGCACATGCGGAAGCGTCGCTGCCAGCCTGTGTCACACGTCTTGGAGCACAGGCTCCAGGGGTTCCATGGGCCCCACTTGCCATCAGCTGGTTGAAGGATGGTACCCATGAGGCATGGGGGGGGGAGAGGAGGCCCAGCTGTGTGCTTATTTATGGCTTCCCATTCATGCCCACTGCCCCCTGTGCCAGTGACCTCTTCTGCCCTTGAGCTCTTGGTCCCCCTGCCCACAGTGACGAGGTAGGGGCAGGGGAAGGGGTGGGAAGCCTGCCTGAAGATGAAAGGATTTAGAACTGGAAACGACCCCTCTTATTTTATGGGTAAACCTAGAGAGATCAGACTCACCCAAGGTCACTCATCCCCAGACACCCAACCCAGGGCTCTTTCTATCCCATCGCCCTTCACTGTAACAGTGAGCACGGATCACAGCGTCCCCCCACGCACAACACTGCCCCAGCTTTCCCCCTGGGCACGGCCGGCCCTCACCTGGGCACTCTGGGTTGCTGCACTCTCGGGCATCGGCGTGGGCACCCCGGCACTCGCCCCAGCCGTGGGCTGTCACACTACATCGACGGCTACGCTGCTGGGTCCCGTTGGCACAGGACACGGAGCAGCGGCTCCAGGGGCCCCACTCCAGCCACTGGCCTTCCACTGCCCCAAGGAGACAGAAACAGAGAGGATGCCGAATGGTGAGCTAAGGAGAGGTGGGGGCAGCAGCAAAGGGCACAGCTAGACCCCTCCCTCACTAGCCAGATAGGGAAAGCGAGGCTCATCGTGGGACTCAAAGGAGGTTATGTGGCAGATTTCCCACCCATGTCCTCTACCTCCAAATACACATTTGGGGCATTTCCTTTACACCACACTGGCTGGGTTCATGCATAGGAGCATCCGCTCTCCTTGAATATGGCATCCTGGCCCCATAAGAGTGTGCCCATTCCAACCCCCCAGGAGCAAGCCGGGGAATGCTGGCCACGAATAAGAGAGGGAAAGCCTAGTGAGCAGTGCCTTGTCCTTGCGTTTAGGCATAAGCCATAGCTGGAAAACAGCACAAGCCTGTGAGGATTCTACAGGCGAGAACAGGAGTCATCAGAGAGGCTGGGAGAAGGCTCCAGAGGAGAGAGGTCTCCGTAACCTACCTCAGGACCCCACGCCTTTTAACAGAGCAACCTCCCTGACCCAAAGCCAAGGCACTGAGTCTCCTCCAGGCCTCAGCCCTTCTGCAACAGGTACATCTCCTCAGAAACTCACTTTGGGGGGAGCACCAGGAAGAGGAAAAAGCATGCTAGCAGCAGGGCCCCCCACTCTGGGCTGCTCCCCCTGGGGACTTGGGGCTCCTTGTGAGAGATCCGAGAGGGTCAAGTCTCCCCCTAGGGCCCTCCCCATCAATCCTCCCTGCCACCTTCACACATGTGTAATTAGGCCTTATAGGTGGAAGGGACTATGGGGCTCTTCTTATACAACTCCCCTGTATTACAGAACAGAACCTGAGTCCAGGGAAGCCAAGTCATCAGATTACACACTTTCCCAAAGCTACCAGGCTGTTGTCCAATGCTGGGCCTCCCCATGGCCAAGGCCAGGGTTCTGGGGCACTTGGGACTCCGAAGGTAAGGGATGCAGAGACTATCACCAACCCAACCCCATAAATCCAATGGCCCTCAGAGTGTGGAGTTAGGCGGTCTTTCCCTTCAGTTCCCTTGGGGGCCCATGGTAAAGCAGGCACTGGAAAGACCCCCTACCCAAGCCTCAGGGACTCCTCCTCCAAACCCAGCAGCCAGGATACAGTTTAAAATCCAGGACGGGTCTCCCCATCTGGCTCCTTCCCACTTCAATGGCCCTCCCCAGCCCCAGCAAACCCCAACCCCAGCCCAGCCCAGCCCACATCTCGGGCTCCTTCCTACCCAAGAAACTCAGTAAGTAACCCCAGCGCCCTGGCAAAAGGAAGGTGAAGGGTCAGCAGGATTGGGGGGGTGAGGTGGGGTAAGGGTGGGGAAAGGGAAAGGAGAGCAGAGGAGGGGAGGGGAGGGGTGGGCGCTACTGACCCGGACAGGCAGCCAGGTTGCAGAGTTTAGTCTGCAGCTCGGGACCTTCGCAGGTCTTCCCACCGTGCTGGGGGGGCACACAGGTCCGCGTCCGGCTCCGGAACCCCCGCCCGCAGGTGCGGGAACACAGGCTCCAGGGCCCCCACTCCTCCCACAGGCCAGGAACTGTAAGGAAGCACGCCACCCAAGTCACCTCTCCCCACCCTTCCCCACCACTTCCAGGCTTAATACACTCCAGGCAAGGCCAGGACCCCTGACCCCAGCCGGGATCCCAGGACTACCTCCTCTCAGCAAGCCAAAGTCCCCCCTACAATGACAGAGGAGAAAAGCACTTTACAAAAGCACCTGGTCCAACTCGCTCCTTTCATACAGGAGGAACGGAGATCCAGAGAGGGGAGAAGGTCTCAGCTAACAATCACAAGACATGAAGAGCAGAGTCAAGACTCGAGCCCATGGGTTCCTAACTCCAGAACCAGGGCTCTTCCCACTACGCCACAAAAGCTGTAAGTCCTTGTCCAGATTCTGACATTGGAGGAGGGCTGGAGATCAGCGGCAGCATCCAGTGCCCCTTGGGCAGGGCTGACAGGAGCATCATCTCCCCCTCCCCAGATATCTACAAGATAGCCCCCTCCACTATCAGACAGGAGAAAGCAGGTGGACTGGATGCAACACAGAGGAAGAGAGGGGCGGTCCTGAGGATCATCGACTTACAGCTTAGAGGTCATCTACACAGCTCTGCTCATTTTACAGATGAGGAAACTGAGGCCCAGAGAGGGGAACTTACTTGCCCAAGGTCACACGGACATTAAGTGATATAGCTGGGATTTGAATTTAGTTCAAATGGGAAAGCCCTGCCTCCCTCATGGTCTTCACGCCCTGTGCCCGGGTACCCGCTGCTGAGGACCTGAGATACCAGGATCAGGGAGAGATGGGACCAATCGTTCCTGTGTGGATTGGGGGATCCAGAGCTGGGGAGCTAGCAGAGGAGCTATATGTGTGGGGGGGTGGCAGAAGTACGGGGAGGATGGGGGCCAGGCAGCGCCTCCAGCCCACCAGAGACAGACAAGAGGACGAGGACACGCAGACACACAGGGGCGCGCCTACAGGCCCCAAGGCCACGAGCAGGACCACCCTGTCCCCAGCCCTTTCTGGGGGCCCAGTGCCCCCTCCTAGCACACTGCTAGCTGGGCCTAGTCCTAGGCAGCCCACAGGTGACCAGCCGGAAGGGGACTTTTCTCTTTCCCCCTCAAACCCTCAAGACAAGAGAACAAATATCTCCAAGCACAGAGAGCCAGAAAGTGACCGTCCAGGTGTCTAGTCACCTGCTAAGTAAAGATGGGAAGGAGCCGGTGTATCGTAATCTTTCCCGAAGGGGAGGGGAGAGTCACCCTAAAGCTGGGCTACGGGGACATCCCTGCTGCCCTGGGCCCTCCGCTGACCATCATCGGATCCAGGGCTGGAGGAGACAGCCCTTTCATTCTACAGAAGAGGAAATGAAGGCCCTGCCCAAGACTGCCACGCCACAGAAGAGACAAGCAGCAGGCTGTGGGATCCAAACCTAGGTCCCGACTCCTAATCCAGTTCCCTTCCACGCTGTCATGCTTCCTCGGGCCTGGGAACAGGAGGAGCGCCTGTCCCCTTCCTATCCAGGACGCCCTCTCACACAAAGGGTCAGCGTGTCTCCACTTAGGGACCCCGACCCTTTCCTGGAGAACGTCCGCTGGGGACTAGACAGGCTCTGGCGGCTGGGGGGGGCAGTGCTCCTCCCTCGGTGACCCAGTGCTCCGGTGTATTTAGCAGAGGGGCGGCCCCAAGGGCCGTACCTGGACAGGTGTCCGTGTTGTTGCAGGTCCGAGTCTCCCGCAGTGGCCCACTGCACAACGTCCCATACGGGGAGGAGACACAGGAGCGAGTCCGAACCTGAAGGCCCTGCCCACACGTCAGAGAGCACACGCTCCACTGAGACCACTCCTCAGCTGCTGGGTCTCCTAGGAGAAAGGGACATGGAGTGTCGGGGAGCGGCGGGACGAGAGATGCCACCCAGGGCAGGGGTGCAAGGCTGCTCTGCAAGGTTACCAGGGCTACTCTGTGCTGAGACTGTAGGGTCACCAGGCTGTTCTAATCTGTGACTATAGGATCATTGGGCTGCTCTGGGCAGAGACTCTAGGGTCACCAGGCAGTTCTGAGCACAGACTCTAGGGTCACCAGGCAGTTCTGAGCACAGACTCTAGGGTCACCAGGCAGTTCTGAGCACAGACTCTAGGGTCACCAGGCAGTTCTGAGCAGAGAGTCTAGGGTCACCAGGCAGTTCTGAGCAGAGAGTCTAGGGTCACCAGGCAGTTCTGAGCAGAGAGTCTAGGGTCACCAGGCAGTACTGAGCAGAGACTCTAGGGTCACCAGGCAGTACTGAGCAGAGAGTCTAGGGTCACCAGGCAGTTCTGAGCAGAGACTCTAGGGTCACCAGGCAGTTCTGAGCACAGATTCTAGGGTCACCAGGCAGTTCTGAGCACAGACTCTAGGGTCACCAGGCAGTTCTGAGCAGAGACTCTAGGGTCACCAGTCAGTACTGAGCAGAGAGTCTAGGGTCACCAGGCAGTTCTGAGCAGAGACTCTAGGGTCACCAGGCAGTTCTGAGCACAGACTCTAGGGTCACCAGGCAGTTCTGAGCAGACTCTAGGGTCACCAGGCAGTTCTGAGCAGAGACTCTAGGGTCACCAGGCAGTTCTGAGCAGAGACTCTAGGGGCACCAAGCAGTTCTGAGCAGAGAGTCTAGGGTCACCAGGCAGTACTGAGCACAGACTCTAGGGTCACCAGGCAGTACTGAGCACAGACTCTAGGGTCACCAGGCAGTACTGAGCAGAGACTCTAGGGTCACCAGGCAGTACTGAGCAGAGAGTCTAGGGTCACCAGGCAGTTCTGAGCAGACTCTAGGGTCACCAGGCAGTTCTGAGCAGAGACTCTAGGGTCACCAGGCAGTACTGAGCAGAGACTCTAGGGTCACCAGGCAGTACTGAGCAGAGAGTCTAGGGTCACCAGGCAGTTCTGAGCAGACTCTAGGGTCGCCAGGCAGTTCTGAGCAGAGACTCTAGGGTCACCAGATTGTTCTATAATGTGACTATCAGGTCACCAGGCTGTTCTGGGCAATGATTACAGGGTCACCAGGACTCTTCTGCATTGAAACCAGATAGCACCAATCAGGATTATCTAGGCTTGGCGTCACAGACCCTGAGCTGATCTCTATTTGCAATGTCTGGCAATGGCATGGCTCCAGGCAGGCCTCAGGCTCCCCTCTCCCTTCCTGTGGGCAGACCCTCCTCACCAGCTGCACAGCTACCATCCCTACCGCCCAAACCCGCAGACTCAGCACGGAGGAAGGACCCCTCCATGCTGAAAGCCCCCATTCTCAGAATGTCCCCACACTCCTCTTGCTCCAATCCCCCTGTCCTCCCCAAAGGGCTGGGGAGAAGGAAGGCACTAGCACAGGCGGCAGACACATGGAAACAGGCACAAACCCCCCAACATGCTAAGCACACACCCTGTTGCACTAAGCACACGGGCTGACACATCACAGGCCCGCAGACTCAGACAGACTCGTTACCTGTCTGCGCCATGTACACTCCGGGCTCGTCTGCTGACCTGGGCCACTGGGTTTTCACCTTCGGCTCTTCTTCCGGCTCCTCACCTGCAACATGGAGATGCCCTCAGCTGGGGCAGGAGATGGGCCCAGAGGAGAAGAGAGAATCCCCTCTCCTCCCTCCCCCAGCCTCTCACATCTGGGGCTGTCCAAAGGGTCTCCAGAGACCATGCACGACTCCTAAGTAAGACAGTCTGGGAAGGGAAGACTGGGACTGAGATCTAAGACAAAGAATGACAATGTTATAGAGGACCTTAGAACACAGAATGTCAGAGCTGGGAAGGGTCTTAGAACACAGGATGTCAGGGCTGGCAGGGGCCTTAGAACATAGAATGTCAGGGCTGGCAGGGGCCTTAGAACACAAGATGTCAGGGCTGGGAGGGCCCTTAGAACATAGAATGTCAGGGCTGGGAGTGCCCTTAGGACCCAGAATGTCAGAGCTGGGAGGGCCTTAGAACATACGGTATCAGAGCTGGGAGAGGTGTTAGAATGCAGAATGTTAGAAATGAAAGGAAATAGGGGCAGCTAGGTGGCACAGTGGATAGAGCACCAGCCCTGGATTCAGGAGGACCTGAGACATATAACACTTACTAGCTGTGTGACCCTGGGCAAGCCACTTAACCCCATTGCCTAGCCAAAATTAAAAAAAAAAGAAAGAAAGCAAAAGAAATGAAAGGAAACATAGAAATGACCTAATTCACTTCCTTGCTTTTGCAGATGAGGAAACTGAAAAGGGAGGTTCTTTCTAGTGCCCAAGCTCCCACAAGACAATGAAAGGCAGCTCTGGAACTTGAATCCAGAAGGCCGGCTCCTAGTCTAGGAGTCTTTTCCTTGCAAGGCGCTGTCCATTGCAGGGCCCCCTCCCCTAGGACAGCTTACACTGCCGACTGGTCACTCATTGATCCCTCCCTTAGCTCAGCTGCAGGAGCCTCGATGAGCCCAGCCCCTCTCCTCCACACACAGTGGGCCAGCCTGGCTCCCTGAAAGTGGCTTCAGCTACCCCTCAGTTCCCTCTGCCCAGTCCCCTCCACCTTCCGCGGAGACTTCAGGGTTGGTAGACAAAGCACATTTTCTGGGCACTCTTACTATGGTGGAGAAGGCCCATGTGTGGTGCCTCGGCTGTGGGCCAGGTGGATAGGTGGCCACTGTTTGCTAAGGTCACCCCAGAGGGTAGGAGAGCTCCGACTCTCAATCCCTAAGAGGCCAAAGATCCTAGGCCCCAGACAAAGTAAAACTGCCTCCCCCTCACGTGGCAGACAATGCAGGCACATATCCTGCCCTCTCATTACAGGACGTGATGCTTTTCCCAGGGCAGAATAATTTCATAAGACCAGTCCCCATGCTAGAATTAAAGGCAGAGGCATTTGGGGGACCTCACGGTATGACCTCATCCTGGCTCCTCCCTCCCTGGCCTGAGAGATGGGCAGCCACAGGCTTTCCCCAAAAGGAGAAACTGAGGCATGAAACTGTCTAGGGGGCTGCTGAGTGGTAAAGACCTGCATGTATATGCATTAGGGAGGGGGGATGTCTCCTGAACATGTCTCCTGAAGCCCTCAACCGCACAGCCTCACAAAGCGGTATAGCTGAAAAGCAGAACACTGGGAGTGGTGTTACCTTGGGCAAGTAACAAAATTCCCCAAGCCAGTTTCCTCATCTGAAAAATGGGGTGATCTGGTCTAGGTACTGACCAGTGGCTTTTCCAGCTCTCTGACCCTCTGATCCCACATCCCACACTGGCTGTGCAGCCCTCTCTGAGCCTCACAGGTTTGGTGGAAGGAAACAGCTTAGAAACCTAAACAGTTCTATGGAAATGGTGGCCATTAAGAGGGCTGGATTTAGAATCAGAGGGCTGAAGTTCACATCTTGACGCTCCCATTTACTCTCTGAGTGATCCTGGGCAAGTCCCTCAATCTCTCTAAGCCTCAGTTTCTCTAACCTATAAAATGAAGTGGTTGGGCTAGACAACCACCCCAAAATCTGTGACCCCAACAGGCAGGGCAGATCCAGGCTTTGACATATCCGAGGGCAAGAGCAGCCAATATTAAAATTTTCAGAGTGAGTATTTACACCTCGAAAACAGATTGTCTAGACTTGAGAAAGTGATAGAGAAAATATTAATAATCAATATTAAACGTACAAGTGTGTCAAGTGTACTTTTCCCTGCCAGAGAGGAGGTTGTTAAATGTCTACCAGCATACCACCATCACTAGGGATAAGAACACTGTTTCTAACACACACACACACACACACACACACACACACACACACACACACACACACACAGTGATGCCTTCACCTTTGTTCATGCACCACCCCTTGTGCCTAGCAAATATCTTTTTTATTTTTTTCCTGGAGGCGATCAAGGGTTACATGACTTGCCCAGGGTCACATAGCTAGTGTCTAAGGTAGGACTGAACTCAAACCTATGCTGACTCCAGGCCCAGCACTCTATCCTCTGAGCCACCAAGCTGCCCCTTTTCTATTTTCTTTAAGAAAATGCTACCTCCTACAGGACACCTTCCTGGATTTCTCCCACATTCCTCGCTCCACTTTTTCTGAGTCTCTAGAGTTGCTCAGAGACAGAACCACAGCATCTCGGAATCCCAGATCCGAAAGAGTCCTCAAAGGACATAAAGTCCAACTCATATGTGAACTGAGCAGCTGGGTGGCACAGTGGATAGAAAGCCGGGCCTGGAGTCAAGGAAGACTCATCTTTATGAGTTCAAATCCAGCCTCAGACACTTAGTAGCTGTGTGACCCTGGGCAAGTCACTTCACTCTGTTTGCCTCAGTTTCCTTATATGTAAAATGAGCTGGAGAAGGAAATAGCAAACCACTCCAATATCTTGGCCAAGAAAACCCCAAATGGGGTCACAGTGAGTCAGACACTCCTATATACGAGGCATTGTGCTCTTCAAAAGCCAAAACAGTCCCTGTCCTCAAGGACCTTGCAGACTCCCAGGGTTGGGGGAAGCCACATGAACACAGGTGAACAGATACAAAACAAAAAAGACTGAATCTGTGATTCAACTGGCATAGGAAACTCCCAGGTAAGGAAACACCCTCACTAATACAGGCATCCACACTTTCTTTGCAGCCTTTTAATAGTCTTAGAACAGCGGTTCTCAAACTTTCTGGTCTCAAGACCCCTTTATACTCTTAAAAATGGGACCCTGGAGAGCTTTTGTTTCTGTGAGTTATATCTGTCAATAATTTCTGCACTTGAAATTTGAACCAGTAAAATTTTAAACTATGTATTTGTAATAATAATAATAATTAACCTATCATATGCAAACATATATAATATATTTTATGAAAAACATTTTTATGAAAAAATAACATATTTTATGAAAAAACAAAATTATTGAGAAGAGTGGTGTTGTTTTACACATTTTTGCAAATCTCTTTAATGTCTAGCTTAAGAGAAGACAGCTGTATTCTCTTATCCACTTCTGCATATTCTGTCTATTGAGGTACATTGTTTTAGATTTGAAATATATGAAGAAAATCCACTCTCACACAGATAAATAGTTGGAAATGAGGGAAGGAGTATTTTATTAGGCAAGCAACATGTTAATATCATTATGAAAATAATAATATAATGTATTATAATAATATTATAGTGTATAATAATAAATAAATAATAGAATAATACGTTCTTACTTCACGGACCCCTTTCAAGGATCTGGGGAATTTCCCAGGGGTCCACAGACTATACTACCTTAGAAAGTTTCCTAGTGCACTCACTGATTTACCTGGGGTCACACAGCCAATATGCGTAAAAGGTTGGATTTGAATCTCCCCTCCTCACTTTAAGGCCTGATGGTCTATCATCCTTTGTGCTACTCTGCCTCTCTGTTTATGCACACTTTCTCTACAAACCATATGCCAATTAAACAAAAAATAATTTGAGGCAGTGAGGAGGGGGCTGGGATCAGGAAGGCTTCTTCTAGAAGGTGGCACCTGAGGGAGCTTGGAAGGAGTCTCAGGATTCTAGGAGGGAAAGGGGAAGAGAGAGGCCATTTCAAGCAACCAAGCAATGAGCAAATGTTTCTTTACAGGTGCTTAATAAATGCTGATTGATTCAATGATTGGGCACCTACTACGTGCCAGGCGCTGTGCTAGGCACTGAGGGTATGAATACAATAAAAGGAACCATCTTTATGCCCAAGGAGTTTACATTTTATCAAGGAGAAAGCATAACGGATATGAAGTAGATACCAAATAACCATTAGGCAATTTGGAAGAAAGTCCCACACGAGGAACAGGAAGACCAGTTTGTTTGGATTGTGTGGAAGTCCAAGGCTGGCAAGTTAGGCTGGAGCCAGGTTGTGAAAGGCTTTAAATATCCCCCAGGAGAGTTTACATCGGGTCCTAGAGGTAACAGGAAGCCAGTGGGTTTATTGAGTAAGGAGACCTGTGTAGGGGTGTGCTGGAGCCAGCTCTGCCCTGCTGAGGAGAGCCATTATTAAATTTCAGGTGAGAGGGCAGCAAGGCAGTGCAGTGGATGAAGCATTGGCCCTGGAGTAAGGAGGACCTGAGTTCAAATCTGGCCTCAGACACTTGACACTTACCAGCTGTGTGACCTTGGGCAAGTCATTTAACCCTGACTCACCCCCCAAAAATGTCAGAGTAAGTATTTATTTATACCTCAGGAATTGGCAACCTCTACAAATCAGGGCTTGAGTTAACGTTTTGTTGGTTGTCTAGACTTAAGAAAGTGATGGGAAAAAAAATTTTTTTTAAAGCGATGGGGAAAAAGGTTAATGCAGACTAAACTTAAAAGTGTGTCCTGCTACACATGTATAACCTATATTGAATTGCTTGCCTTCTCAATAACAGCGGGGTGGGGAGGGAGGAGGGGGAAGAATTTGGAACTCAAAGTTTTTAAAACAAATGTTAAAAATAGACTACATGTAACTGGGGAAAAACAAAATACTAAATAAAAGCTAAAAAATTTAAAATAAATGTTATGCGTGTCATGCATACATTCCCTTCCCCCTTCCCAAGAACTGGTTGTAAAACATTTATCAACATAACCTGTATCTG